TTTTCATGTAAAGATATGTTTTGACTGACCGTAATAGAAAAAAAACCCTAATTACTTGAATTCCTGCACGTTTCTCTTCAATAAGCCAGCCTGTCGCATTTTGTGCTCTATAGCAAAGCATTGCGTAGGACACAACAGCATCGTCAGGCTAAAAAAAGTGAAGAATTTCTCACTATTCCAGTTTCTCTCTCATTTGGCTTTTATCACTTGGATAGACTTGCATATTTTGCAAGTGACCGGCATCAGTGTTATAAAGTGTAAACTTGCTGGCTGCTGGCGCCAAAGGTTTCCGCACTGTTGACCAGCACTATCCCCTTGTTAACGAACTTGTTGAGGGACAGATAAATCATGCTCGCTCCCACGACCACAACTGACCACAACTTTCTAGTTTCTGGGGAATGCTCTAGCACAGGGGTCCCCAACCTTTTTTGCCCCACGGACCGGTTTATGTCAGACAATATTTTCAGGGACCGGCATATAAGGTGTGGCGGAAATAATACAACAAAATAATATGGTATGAGCTGCATGAAAACTGTGGTGTTTTCGAAATATTGACCGTAATAGAAAAAAAAATGAATTACTTGAATTCCTGCACGTTTCTCTTCAATAAGCCAGCCTGTCGCATTTTGTGCTCTGTAGCAAAGCGTTGCATAGGACACAACAGCATTGTCAGGCTACAAAAAATGTAAGAATTTCTCACTGTCCCAGTTTCTCTCTCATTTGGCTTTTATCACTTGGATAGACTTGCATATTTTGCAAGTGACCGGCATCAGTTTTATAAAGTGTAAACTTGCTGGCTGCTGCCGCCAAAGGTTTCCGCACCGTTGACCGGCACTATCCCCTTGTTAACGAACTTGTTGAGGGACAGATAAATCATGCTCGCTCCCACGACCACAACTGACCACAACTTTCTAGTTTCTGGGGAATGCTCTAGCAGTAAAATGGACTTCTCATATCTTAATAGTCCATATGGATTTCATTGAAATTTCACATACGATGAAAGGTTGGACGAATTCAAAAATCCTCAGAAAAAAGAAAACTGACCAACAACTTCCAAACTTGGAAGCCGCAGTTTTCCGAAGGGGGTTGGAATCGACAAACAATTCCTTCACACATTAACAAGCACAGTTCCCAGCCTGTTTTGACGACAAAAAAAAAAAAAAAAGATGAGAGATAACATTTAATGGACACATATGGCTCTTATCATACTCCTACACTTTTCCAAGAATCTTTTGGGGGACCTTAACCAGCTTAACTCAAATGGATGCAGACTGAAGGAGGAACAAAAGGAAAGCCGTCATTAGGTGCTGGAAGAACCCAAAGAGAAGCCGTTGAAAGAAATGGAAAAATAAAGAAGGAGCATGAAGAGGAACATCATTCATCAGCCACATGAGAGCGTGAACAGCTGAGCTTTAGCAGGTGAAAGGTTACCATCTGACTTATATGTGAGCACAAGTGGCGATGTAATAGAACCATCACTCATATCCTCACATGGTCGAAGATGCAGTCTGGAGAAGCACATGTGGGATAGGCATCAGTTTTATTGCTTTACCATAACAAGGGGAGGGAAGGTTATCTACAGGACAGAGGAAGTTAGATACAGTACGTGAAAAGCAGAAAGGAAATTGCATTGTTAGCTTCTGAGTCTGGAGGTCAGCAATTGGCCAGGGAAGCCATTCCAGATTTAAAGCTTTCGCTTTCCTCAAAGGCGGAGTAATGTGACACTGCGATAATTGCTACAGTCCTCTGGCCTCACAATTGGGAACCACCATCTTGGTCTGCTTGTCCTTAGAAATGATCAACAAGCCTCTATGGAATATTTTGGATAGAACAACTCAGGCATATGCCTATCTCCTAATATCTCAGGGTTCATTTTACTCACATGTAACATCTTTAACGACGAGGTGCTTCTAAAATTACAAATTCAAGGACATTCTTGGAGGCCAAAACCACAGCAAGAGTGGAACTAACCACGTGCTAATCTTTGTGTGAAATAATGTCCAGCCCAACATAAATAATCGCTTCCAACGGCTTTGTACAAACGTTTCTCTTGATTCCATTAGCTAATGTGTGCTCTCTTAGAGCAATTAGACAGCTACACACCAGCAGACATTAAATGAAGGTCAGAAATTGCCGGGTGCTGCCAAAAAGTCGGCTGTAGTCTTCAGACACTCTGAAACACACACTGTGTTTTTTCTGCATTGTATTTTTTTTCAAGCCGGGAGGAAACAAAGCAAGAATTATCTCACCTTCACGACAATCCTTGCCAAAGAACCCAGGGCAGCACCTCCACTCCAATGCAGTCACCTGCTTGTAGGAAACCATGAAAGCTGGTCTAAGGACGGTCCTGTAGCTGATTAAAAAAAACAAAAAACACATTTATAACGAATTTATTAAAAAAAAGAACATAACTAAAAAATTTGTCCAACACACACATACACACACACAAAAAGAAAGGAAAAGCATGAGAGAAGCACAGGGCTGTAGTACCTGACAACATTGGAACAAGTTGCAGGCCAGTGGCAGGTTTGAAGAACCCTTTGCACAGTGGCTTGGCTCCCATTGTGTACCTGACAGGACACCGTCTTGGAAACAGTATACTGACACCAGTTCCTAAGGTACAAAATGACAGAGAAGCTATGTGTATAATACTCAATTCAGTGTGTAGTTTGAATTGTGCATCATTTAGCACTGATGAGGCTGAATATGACTGAAGTAGACCATCGCAAAAAATATATACCAGAAGTTGGTGACTCTCCGCCACACACCAAGTGGTTGAACACCGCACATCTTCTGACATGGTGAGATGGAAAAATTGTGATCCTCTAATAGATTTTGAGATTCCACACACTGTACTGTATTATTTTTTGATGAACCATAAAAACATGCCACAATGGTCTAGGAAGAAATGGATGGCGACAAAAAAAGGTATCTGGTCAGAATGTGGATATTCTGAGATGGAGACAGAGACTCTTTGCACTTTGCCTTCTTTTTCCAAAGAGGAAAAATATTGTTCTATTTTTGTACTGTATTTACTGAACACATATCGTCCTTAATTTTAGCAGCAGCAAATTGGTCTAATGTAGGGATCACCAACCTTTCTGAAAGTGAGAGCCACTTCTTGGGCACTGATTAATGTGAAGGGCTGCCAATTTGATACACACCTTTCGGAAATGACAGTTCTCAAATTAACTGTCATCACTTTTCAGAGATGTGAAGGGAGAAATTGTGTAACGTAGTTGTATTGTATTTTCTGAACACTGTCCGTGATGCAATTTGTTCTTCAGGGACAATTTTGTGCACTTAAAAATATCGAGACATGTATGTGTCTTCATGTTTACCTATAAACTTTGACCAAATTCGGTTCTTGAGATTAACTAATGAATAAACCACTCAAAAATTGGATAAATCACAAAAACACTTAAAAGTCTGTCCGATGTAGCAATTCACCGAACTATTAAAAAGGAATCGAGTGGCCCCGTGACACCCCTAATATTAAAGTATGGCAGCACATCCAGCCATCGCAGTGCATTCTGGGATTCGTAGTCGTCATACATTTACTGCTAAGCGTTATCTGCTTCTCAATGGTAGAGGACATTGTTTCAAACGTAATACTAAAATGCAGTAGAATTGCCACCACTGGTGTCCAAAAGGATGCAAATATGAGCATTACTAGAAGTGCAGGTATGCTCACCTGAGTTGGGATCCGCTACCGGGCGGCCCATTAGGGCCACTTAGCTCCTGTGCGGGTACGACGTGCTCCCGCTGTAGCGCCTGTACCGGTACGACGCGCGGCCGCTGTAGTTCCTGTACCGGTACGACGCGCGGCCGCTGTAGTTCCTGTACCGGTACGATGCGCGGACGCTGTAGCTCCTGTACCGGTACGACGCGCTGCCGCTGTACGGTAATACCTGGGAGCCGATAAACAAAACCTGTTCCGAGGGATAACCCGAATAAACAGGTCCATGTGCAAAATGTATACAAAAATACCGAAGCCATTTTGGTTCGCATCTTTTTTAACTGTACTGTATCCCTGATGCAAATGCTGCGGATGACAAGACCCCCGAGTGAATTAAAAAGTAATCTTCAACGTGGTTGTCACGCCGGCTTGAAATGAAGTGGTGCTGTCACACAGCCTCTTCCTATATACTGTTGTACAATGCGGCTTTCTGGCGAGTTGTGCGGAGTCAAATATCCAATGCGCATTGGATGTAAGTCAAGGGCTGAACCCAGTGCATAATAGCCCTTACTATGTCACTGTCTAATTACAGGAACCTCATTAGGAATAAACATGGGAACCACAATCATTTCTTGTCCTTTCCGAGACTAATATGACACAAAAGGCACACATTCCACCCCTATAAGCTCATAAAGTTGGGTTAATTAAATTGAAGGAAAAAAAACACCCAATGTGTGAGTAAACATCTAATTACATGAACCTATTAGAAATAAACGTAGGAATCAAAACCACTTCTCATTTTGGGGAATGACGTGAGAAAAAAAGGCACCAATTCCACGTCTATAAAGCCTAAAGATGCATCAATAAATTATTTGATAAAACACCCAGTGGGTAAAAGCCACTACTAAGTCAGCGTCTAATTACAGGAACTCTATTAGGTATGACCAGGCAACCAAAACCACATCTTTTTCATTTCGAAGACAAATGTGACACAAAAGGCACCACTTCCACGGTTATAAATTCACACCGATGTATTAAACTGGTTACGTAAAACCTTTACAAAGTAATCATCTAATTACAGGAAACTTTTAGGAATAGACGTGGGAACCGAGTTCCCCTTGTGTCATTCCTGTGACTAATGTCACACAAAACATGTAGCCATTTCTCACGCCCGTAAATCCACAAATATGTATGAATTGCGTCATTTAGTAAAACTACACAATATTCGTGGTGTTAAATATGAGGAGTAAGAACGTTAACGCATATTACATCACAATTTCAATATCATCTTCAATGGGTGTTAGTGTTGGGAAGCAGCGTCATCAAGAGGTAGAATGGCGTCAGTACAAGCCTTTCCCCAAGAAGCAGACGTGTCCCACTTTGTTGAGTCCTCACGTTCATCTTGCTTCAACAGGCAAACAGATCGGTGGAGGTCGACATGGCCGGCAACATGGACGAAAATACAGATTCGGGGATCTCATTGGAGCCGTACATCGAATCCGTGCGCCAGCAACTGGAAGACCAGGATCAGATTTTCCTCATCGGGGTCCTCGTCGCTTTGGCGGTTGTGATCATCACCTGTGGTGCGTTAGCATCGTGGGTGTTAGCATGCTAACCTTAGCCTAGCAGGCTAAAGGCGTAATGAAGCTGGCGCGTTTTAGTCTAACTTTTATATTTGACACTACGTTAAATTGTTAATGTTTGTTAATGCAAATGAGTGTCCTCGTTGGTAAATTTTGAACTTAGGAAGCTAAGAGCTGCGCTATCGCCTCTTCCACTTGTGTGCTTCTGCTGTTCGAGCGTTGTCCTCATCTTGAGAAACATTTTAACGACGAGTCCCTTCTTGTTCGCTCTTGCAGTTTTTCTCAAATACTTTTTGACCAGTAAAACGGTCCGAAGTGCGGTGCTGCTAGTCGGGCTATGCGACGCGGGCAAGACGCTTCTCTTCAGCCGAGTGAGTGGACATCATCACCCGCTCAATGCTTGGAGGTGGCACGAGACCGAGCCTTTTCAAATATTAATGCTTGATTTTTTTTTTTTTTAATGTTTTGTTTTCAGCTTCTCTCTGGGAAGTTTAAACGGACTCAGACATCCATTACAGACAGCAGTGCTCCCTATAAAGTGATAAATGAAAGGGTAGGTTTTATCAATATTTAATTCCAGTAATTGAGCTACCGAGGACTACAGTGAGCTATCACAATCTGATATTTTACATAACAGTGACATAAAGGATTGATGTAATTTATATATTGGTGATTTATATGGCAAGTAAGACTTCTCCCGGGTACTTGTTTTTGCAGAAATTATGGTTTTCTTCGCATTTTGCCAAATATAATGTTTTTGGACTTGTATCATATTGCATGCATATACAGTATATAGATATATAGATCATATTGCCTTCACTTCTTTCAACAATAACTTGTTTTTTTTCCTCTCTTTTTTTTCCCCTGTTCAGAACACCATCTGGACTCTGATAGACCTGCCAGGTCATGAGAGTTTGCGTTCACAATATTTGGAAAAGTTCAAATCAGCAGCCAGGTGACAATATTAGACCTTGTATTTAAAGGAGAGCTACTGTGCATTAATTCGCAATTTTGAAAGAGTTGTTCGGTGTGTCACTAATGTCAGTGACATATTTCTGTCAAAATATACAACGGATCAAGAAATACAGGACAGCTAAAATTCACCTTAAATATTTTGGTTTAAATCACTCTTTTGGGGTGGGCGTTTCTGTCTCATCAATGAGCAACAAATCTAGTGAACTTATATTACTTGAGACTTCCTCAAGAGCAGATGTTCACCCCAGACTGCAAATGACGATTCCATGCCAAGGCCTTCAATGGCTAATTTAACCATATACGTTGACAAACAACTCTCTCCAGAGCCATCGTGTTCGTAGTGGACAGCGCCATCTTCCAGAAGGAAGTGAGAGATGTTGCTGAGTTCCTGTATGTGCTTCTGACGGATGCCGTGCTCTGCAAAAACGCCCCCACATTCTTGGTTGCGTGCAACAAACAAGGTACTGAACAACCTTCATCTCCCCCTGCCAACTTACCTCAACTCAACTGTATTTATAGAGCACTTTCAGACAGCCATCGCTGCATACAAAGTGCTGTACATGGAGCAATAAATATAATAATATAATAAATATAATACCTCCATAAATAACAAAAGAAATGTTCCTTTACAGATATCACCATGGCGAAGTCAGCCAAACTGATTCAGCAGCAACTGGAAAAGGAACTGTGAGTAACTAATATTATTTAGTTGAGACACAATTATTTGCATACAAGACATTTCCCTTATTATGGCCCCTTGTCATGTCATAGGAACACACTGCGGGTGACTCGCTCGGCAGCCCTGAGCTCCCAGGACGGTTCGGGGGGAGGAAGCGTGTACTTGGGAAAGAAAGGCAAAGACTTTGAATTTAGCCAGCTGCCAATTAAGGTAGAATTCCTGGAGTGCAGCGCCCGCGGAACCAAAGGTGAAGAGGCCGAGGCTGACATCCAGGCCTTGGAGAGCAGTCTGGCTAAATTGTGAAGGAAAAAAAAGTGAGGACTTCACTGGCAGGCACCATCCACGCTTAAGTCAACAATTTCACAGCACTTCAAAAGACAACCACTCCCTCACACATTCAGTCAAATCAATACTGTGAAAGTCCAATTAGCAAACATGGATGGAGATTTATGAAATGAATACTGTTTGCTTGTTTTGAAGTGCAAATCTAATAGTGAACATCAAAATTCAAAATGACAATAAGCTCAGGTATTGACACATTTATTGCAAAAACACAATTTTGGACAGCTTTGAGAAATCCTGGCTAAAGGAGCTGTCGTGTCATCATGGAAGGGAAGCCTTGTGCCTCTTTATTCTGATAGAATGACAAATGTTTAGCTTTAGAGCAGTTTGAATGTATGGGATTGTTGTGAAGAATGCATTTGTAATGACAGGTCATAATTTATTCCTGCAAAAACTGACAAAAAAAATTCTTGCCTGTACAAAATGGCAACATGGTCTTTTTGGTTGTCCGCGTGGGCTTCATTTTATTTCCAAGTTTGTTTGTCACTTAGTAAAGCCAAACAGGTCATACACAGATTCATTAGGGCGGGTTGACAGGAAAAAAAAAAGCAATTTGAAAACATTTTCCCTGACTGGAAATAATTTGTACTCGGCTCAAACTGTCACTATAATTAAATCTACAATCCACATGTGATGTTTTGAATCAAATTTGTAACCGTTGCACACAAGAGATCGATTGTCAAAAAGTACAATTAGTCACTTGGAAAAGCGATGTCATACATTTCTGGTTGCACGGCTAACACGTTAGACGAGTGGTTGAACATGCCTATGGGGTTTCTCCACATGCTCTGGCTTCCTGTCGCATTCCAAAAGCATATATGTGAGGTGGATTGAAGACTTCATAGTCCATCCATTTTTGGAGGTGCAAATAAAATCGGAATTAGACTAATGGTTAGCACAAACGCACTTCCTAGAATTGCCCTTGGGTACTAATAAAGCTGTTTGCATAGATTTGAATAGTCACAGGATTAATCAATAGAACATTTAGCCCAAAGCATCCCAGTTATATGTGAAATATAAAAAGGCAATGTCCTGTTCATCACAGAAATTGCACGCTTTGTTATAACAAGCCACAAGAGTGTAATTCCTGTTGAGTGCTTTCTACAAAACAGCGATGGCGACAAAAGGGATGGACAAAAAGTATGTAGCAGTCAAATCAAAAATCATTAAGAATGTAGAAAACAGTGAACTTTGATTGGCTGGCAACATGTCCAGGGTGTACTCCCGACTCTTGCCTAGGATAGGTTCCAGCTCATCCATTTTTTTGTTGCAGCGTGTTGGAAGATATGCAGTGTTCAGACGAAGAGCTTGACAAAAAAAAAAAAATTCCCCACAATTGTCCAGTGTAGTCTCACTTTTGGCTACGTCAATAAGTGTGGGGCAGGCCTTAACTCGCAGTGTTTTATTATTTGTAAAAGTGGGGGGTTGTCCAATGTGTTTTGTGACATTTCAGTTTGGTGTACTTTTGAGATTTTTCAAATGGACGATAAAATCGGTGTCTTGGGTAAATAAAGATTGTGACACGCTGCTATTGAAATGGATGAGTGAGTAAAGTGGCATAATCTAGGCTTCAGGCAGCGGATAGACAGTCAAACTCGAGCTCTGATCAGCCACAAGCAGACTGGCTGTTCCTTTGAGCAAAGCAGGACACAACCAGTTCACTTTGTCCCCGTGATCGATATTCACTTTGGGTCCAGGCTTATCCATCACCTCCACCTCAGCCTCGTCTTTCTCTCGCACCTCCTGTCCTTTCCTCTTCGCCTTGCTTTTGCTCTTCCTTTGCGGCGCGGTTGCACCCTTGACTTTGGCCTTGCCCTCAGGAGTCACCACGGGGTGTTTACTGACGTCCCACAGAGCCACATGGCCATCATTGCCGCCTGTGGCCAGCCAGTATGGGTGAGAGAGGAACGGGATGAAATGAGCTTGAGAGGCACCTTGGCAGTGCGCTTTGAGCGCCCCTTGCTGCTCCAGTTTGGAGCCGCCACCCACACGCATCAGGTGCACTCGGCCGTCCTCGGCGGCGCAAGCCACGATGTTTCCGCAGCTGGCCACGGAGACGCAGTGGGCCAGCGGAGGGTTAAAAAGCTGACCGGGACGCTGCTGGTTGTTGTCTTCCTCCTCCGCTAGGTCCTGGAGGTTGAGGGTCCAAATGGGCCGTGTCTTCTGCAGACCCCACAGCATCACCTGAACATCAAAAGTTCAACAGTTCTTATGACCGATTTGCACAATTAGATTCAGCATTTTGCCTTTATCCACCATCACAATGGAGTTAAAATAAAACAAGAAAACTTTGTGTCCTGAAATTGACTACCTTTCGAAATCCTTGTGGTAAAAGTGTATTTGCACAAACTGCCCTCAAATCATCATACTTCAATATGCATTTTTTTAATACACAAACACACACACACACACGAAAGACTAGGGCCAGACCAATATGGATTTGTTGATGCCGATGCAGGGTGGGATATTTGGCAGCACAAAATTACGATAACGAACAAATGGGGCAATTAATTAAAATAATCTATAATGAATAAAATGACTTATTTTTGGGTCCATTAACGTCAACAAATAGATATATAAATTTCAGGCAGGACATTTGACAGTTTTACAATACTTTGGACTTTAGTATTTGTTTAAATTCACTTTTTAAAAAAATGTAGATTTTAAAGAGCTAATATTCATCAGTCTTTAATGTGTAAAATGAGACAAGATCATTATATTGTGTGTAATGTTCTGACCTGCATGTCCAGTCCAGCAGACACCACGTTGTTGGGTCTGTGCGGCCTAAAAGCCACGGAGGAGCAGATGTTGGTGTGTCTGCGAAGCGTCCTGCACACCTTACCCCCAGGAAGCTCCAGTATCCGCACTACCCCCGAGTCATCGGCCAGCGCCAGAGTCGAACCGCTCTCGTTCAGCGCTAATGCATTGATCTCCTCCTCCCCAGCTCCGACAAACTCCTCTACTGTGCCATTGAGGTTCCTTGGGTCGAGCGAGCTCACCGTGTCGCCATAGGAAACGTAAAGGAGGTCCGGTGCCGTGGGAGAAAATGCCACGCTGGTGCAGTCCATCTCACCTGGGAGGTTTAAGCGACCAAGGACACATCCTTCTTGACTCCAAACGGCGACCTCCCCTCTTTCTGAACCTGAGGCGATCAGTCCCTCAGGGCCCGGGGACGCAGACACACACAAAATGGCCGTGGAGTGGCCCTCACGCCACAGCTTAGCCATGCTAACAAAGTGGGGGGGCAAAGAATTGTGATAGCTTTGAACAAACTTAAGTAAAGTTTGCCATCTGTAAGAACATAGCGAGATGTGAAAGGAATAGTAAGAAACAAAACAAACTCAAGTAATTGACGCCCCACTAAAAATTGTCTATTTAGGCCTATTGAGAGTTGTCAATTTACCACAAAGAAAAGACACTTTGATATTATGTCCACTTCATCTAACATTACCCTTTCAAAGTAAAGAGCTACAGATGCCTTAATTGTTGTATTATTTGTCCGTAAACAATGACTGTTGTTTGCAAAATCCATCAAACCACGCACACGCAATAGTCAGCCACTTTGTACTTACGTATAAAATAACTGCTTAAAAGATGCTCACACACAGAATCAAAAATATTCAGCTAAAAACCTTCAGCTTCCCATTTCATTGCATTTGTTTTGAGTGGTGATACCCTTTCAATTGATAAGAAATACGAAGACAAAACGAGGCAAAGTTTTTCGACTATCAACCGATTTAACTGTCGCGGTCGCAGATTGATGACGTCACACGCAGGCGCTGTTTCTGGCATTCAATTTTAAAAAATGTCAGGTTTTTACGTGAAGTCCTTGTAGCAAATGCTCGAACAATACACCCGAGTACACATTTTTTAATGTTGAGACATAAAAAATATTAATTCTGTAAGATCTATACTCGATATCCCAAATAACGTGACAGAAGCCGTAGTGTAAAAAAAGCTCCGAAAAAATAAGTGTTAATATTAATTAATATGGCACTAGTGTCGGACACCGAATTAGAATACTCTTTGTATGTTATTTTTTTATATAAAACTAGCAACACCGATCCTCTTAATGTTTTTCATACAAAAGTATTAATCAAGTCAGCTTTATTGTCATATGTGTCGTAGTGTGGGTAAATAAGATGCAGTCGGTTACCACAACATGTACAAAGCGTACTGGAGTAGAAGACGGGCTTTCACAACTACATTTGTTGTCATTAGATTGTGCAAATTAGGTAGTATAGTGTTTGCTACACCTAATGATTGTGGACAACGTAAAAAACGAAACCCTTGCAGGGGGGTCATGCTCGTCCAATCTTTATTCAGCATGCCCCAAAAACATCCACGACCTTTCATCTCCACAATGGCCGCTCTCCGCTGATTCATCCAATGCTGTAGACTTGATGAGTGCGGTCCATTTCTAGGTCAGTGAAAAGCATACTAAGCTGCTGAGTTGAATAGGCCGCAGGGAGGGGAGGGGCCCCTGTTATCCAAAAACACACTAAACTAAAAGCCCATTTGAACATCACACAGCCACGGATGCCTTGCCACAAAGCAGCAGCTCAATGTAGGTAGCCTTCTTTTTTGCACAGAATTGGATAAATAATGGAAGTAGCAGGATGACCACAATCAATAATTTAACAATGACGTCAATACAAGAACTGTATCAAAATTTCTGTCATGAAGCAACAAGTGTTTACAATTACAGTTGTCTCAAGCACGATGACAGCGCCTTATTTCCCAGCGAGGTCAGTCCTTTTCCGCAAGGAATCGAATGGGGTGACCTACAGAGTACCGGCGTTGCTCTACCTGCCCCGATGCAGCTCTTTCCTGGCCTTCTGCGAAGAGAGGCTCAGTCCGTCCGACTCCCAGGCTCACCTGCTGGTCATGAGGAGAGGGACTTTCTACAGGAACTATGTTGAGGTGAGAGATATTCTTTGGGATCCTTAGGTCCCAATGTCCAAAAATATTTTTTAGAATGATTAAACATGCAGCAGGTCACATTGTCCCATAACATAAACACAACAAGAGGTTATGATATGGAATCCTCCTCTTCATTTCCAGTGGGAAGACATGAATGCACTCGGAACGGCCTACTTGCCGGGCCACCGCTCCATGAACCCGTGCCCAGTGTACGACGACTTCACAGGTACCCTCTTCCTATTCTTCATCGCCATTCTGGGTCACACCACCGAGTCCTTCCAGCTGGCCACGGGGAAGAACTTAACGCGCCTCTGCTACGTCTCCAGCACGGACAAAGGTGTCACGTGGAGTCCGGCCACTGACCTCACGCAGCAGGTCATAGGAGACACCCTCAAAGGTCCGGCACCTCCTTTTTCATTTAAAAAAAATTCAGATCTGATAGTAATCAAAGTAGATCCTCATTGGACACATCATTAGGACCTTTTTTTTTTTTTTTTTGGCAAAGTCGAGATTTTGGGGGGAATTCACCTGTTGTGGTGGGTCAGTTGTATGGCCCTCATAGGAAAAATGTTACAGCTACTGTCGTCTACATGCCATAATTTTAGCT